CAAACAAACAAACAAACTTCCAAATGGTAAAGCACAGCGTCCTTGGTTATTAACCCATACATACCCATATGCTCAAGAAAAGGTTTTCCTTTCACCTCCAAGCTGCACGTTAGCCCTCAGAGAACGAGAAAGCCAAAGGCCAGTGTTAACATCTGAAAATTCCCCTGCTCGCTGCACCTCTGCCTGGCTCTTAAAGCCAGAAGCAATGAATTAAAAACAAATCAAAACCGAACAAAAATGCAAAATTAGAGACAGGCTTTACTCACGCCACACTCACTCATTGCCACTTTTCCAGCTTTCATCACTTGCCCAAGTCACAGCACAGTTTTCAGCAGTCCATGCAATATTTTGAAACCCTGAAAGGTCTATCACAGAAAACCAATGTTTCTAAATAGCTTTGTTTCACTGATGTTGTGTTTCAATATGATTCATGATTATTGTCTAAACTGAACTCTAAATAGATCTGCTTAACCACGAGTTGTCAGCAAACCTTCGGAAAAAATGCAAATTATAATTCTTCCATTCATCTTTGTTCTATGACACTTTCAGCCTAGCTTAAGGAAAGCATTTTTTTAACAACTGGGCATCACTTTAGTTGTACGATTTAACTGAGGGATGGAGGAAATAAATAAATAATTTTAAAAAAGCATCTATCCATACTGCAGCATTACAGTTAAACTGGGAATTAATCTGGACCAATATATTTATTGATCAAACACAGCAGAAGAAATTGTTGACTTCAACCTTTCTGCACTGAACACGTCACTGAGCAGACTGCAGTATTAATGAATAGATTGCAGTGGAAAATTGCTGGTATTGTATATTCATGTAGAGCTTAATGGATTCAGGCCAACATTGAAAGAAAGTCAGCACTCCAGTCTTCAGAGAAACTGTGTTACCAAAAAATCTGCATTGCTCACACCCTGAGCCTGCGGATCTGATCTGCCCCAGTGAGGAGACTGCAAGCAATCTGAAACTCTGGCTGGCCTTTAAAGTCACTCCTTGGGGTGACAAAAAAACATGGTGCTTCTGACCCTCTCTTCTGGAATCTGTTGGGAGAAGAACTCCAAATTAACAGTGGGATCCCCTATGAATTCTTCTGACTGAAGTTGCTGATAAAGAGTCTCATTAGTATCTAACCTTCATTCTAGCAGCTCAATAGTTACTCCTGCTCTCTTTGGTCTCATTTTCCGTCATCTGTCCTTATTCCAGGAAGTCTTTCTGCCGTTGGGATTAGCCGAAGTGCCCAAGAATCAAATATGAGTTCTGCATCTAATAGATATGATACCACACAAATAGAGGTTTTGAGATACTTTATCATCATTTGAAAAATAATCTAATTCCATACCTGTCAGTGAAAGTAAAAAAAAAGGATTAGAAAAATCACCATTTATTGATAACTAAATATTGTATAGACAGAAAGACGGAGAATTTTTTGCCTTCTTCATGCTATCTTGCTGAAGTTATCCATGCTGATGAACTTTTAGGAGGTATTCAGGAGGAAAATAATGCTGTGAGTGAAAAAAGAAAAAAAAAAGATTTTTTCTAAATCTGACAGAGCAGCAACTTTACAGAGACTGTCAGTGTGACCTATGCTTAAGGGAGAGACCCAAATAGGAGAGAAAACCCAACTAACCATTTTCTCAAGCTAGACTGATGATGTTGACTGATGATGATGACTGTGATAGCAGAATGAAGCTGGATTTCTTCCTGAGAACCAGTTGTGCCTGTGCAATTATCATGCCAAATGATTCTCAAACTTTTCTTCCACCAAACCTAATTTCTAGTAAGATCAGACCAGGCTGAAAATTAAAACCACCTGAAGAGCGCTACTAACCTCAGGGGATATCATTTTGCCCTGTTTGTGAGGAAAGCCTCAGGTGTTAGGAGAGGCCTCAGGTGCTGCTAGAAGCCCCGTTTCCATCACAGCCCCTCTCAGGTCAGCTGCTTTCAGGGAAATCTCCACACTGGAGCTGGGCAAGTCAGTCGGCAGTGGGACCTTCTTTTTTCCTAGATCAGAAATTGCAATTCTCCCATCCTGTGTTGCCCGTCTCTCGCGGGGACGGGATGCCAGGAGGACAGGGTGCAATGCCACACCAACACCAGCTGCTTCCCAAGGCCATGAGAGCAAATGGGCCACGGAGCCATAGGTGGCAGCTCCTTCCTTCTTGTCCACTGGGAGCGTGGTCTGTGGTCATTTCTTCCCAGACGTTTGAGACAGGCTTGGCATATGCATCTGGCGAGCGAGATCTTGTCAGAGCAGGATGCTATTACTGTCACGAGGCCAGCTGCACGGCGGCGACACGACTTCCCCCTCACGCACGGCCCCTCATACCACATGGGATCATGGCAGGGGAGAGAGGCCGCTGCTCTGCAGGGAGATTTCCTTTAACTGAGAAGGCCCCCATCAACTGTACGACTCCTACACTCACCAAAAACAACTTAGCAGGTCCAAGCAGCGCAGCATTGGCCTCCTTCCAAGACGGTGAGGGCTGGGTAAAGCTCTCAGCATAACCCCGGTCCTGCTTCTCCTGACATGATCTGCACTCAGAGATAGAGGAGGCCGTCCGTGCACACCCTCCGTCTGCTCAATTTCTGTGGCAGGTATTGTCTTGAGGAAATGATTTTCTTCAGAAATCTGAGCTACATGTGTCACAGTGATGTCAGATTTGCCTTAGTAGGGGCTTCAGGATTTTTGCCAACTGCTGTTTACGCAAAACTCTACTAGAATGGTGTCCCGGGGGGGATACAGACGGGGAAGGAGGTAGGAAACAGCTGTGCTGGTAAATATTAGATTTCTTTATGCTCATATATATGCCAGACGAAAGAGAGGCTGAGACAATCAAAAAGCCTTCGTGTTAGTAAGGAAACTCTGACAAAACCATTTCGATTTGATTTGTGTGATAGCGAATCGCCGAGCTGTCCAAATGCGCTGGGCACGTGCACATGATTGCCCTTCTGGTGAGCGATCCAGAGTACACAACACGGTATTTATGTTAGCTTTATATTGTCTGTGGCAGAACTGGCAACATCTAGTTTGGCATAAAATGGAGTGGCATGAGCAGAATATACACAAGCCAACATAAAGCAGGAAAGCTACCCAAAGCATATATTCTTAGCACAAATCAAAACCTGTGCCTGCAGCACTTTACACCATAAGGTTGCAGTGTTTTGGTGCAGCACCAAGTGTCCTAAAACATTCTGGTGTTGCATAACTACTGCCTAACATGCTCCCAACTGAGGGAAAGCCAGCCTGTTTTTTCCCCAGAACTCTGACAGTGGTGCCTTTTGCAGTTTTCAGCAGGTTACCGCTAAATAAAGAATTTGGTAGAATCTGTGATGGAAATAATGGTTTCTGCTTGTCATATGAGTTTGAAAGCTGACAGCATTCAGTGTTCAGAGCACGTGTGCTTGTGTACAGCCCACCAGGATCCAACATAGAGTAAAGCAGATTCCTTGCAAATATAGCTGGCAGGCATATTTATGTCACCTGCTCCGCACACCTAGCACAGAAAAAAAAAAAAAGAGAGAAAAAAGGGAGAACAAAAAGCTATTCAGACAGGTAGTCAGAGCCACGAGATCCCAGCTACTCACCGAGCGGAGGCTGGGCCATCTCCTGAAGGCAGGCAGAGCGCAGTGTCATTTACGTGTCATGTTTACTGTATCCACTGGCATCTCTTGAGGTGAAAAAAATTGGAAAATCTGGCTTTCAGAAGCATTTTAAATGTGCCTACGGCCACTGGCAGGGACACTGGTGCAGTGTTGGTGGCCATCACCATCGCTAACCTGGCCCAAAAAGTGCACATACTGGGGGGAAATATATGGACACAGTTTGGAAACTTGGTTTTGGGAACTAAGCTATTAAAATCAGTGCCTCAAAATAAACTTATTAGAAGATACTGCAACTAACGAGTAATTGTGCCCATCAAATCTAGTTTTGCTGGACATAATGCAACTGGCAAAGCAATATTTTCTGTACTTCGTAAATAAATGGATGTGTATCTGCTGGAGCAAGTTCCTAACACAGGCTTTGGAGACAGGAAGAAGAAACTCCTAAATATTATTACAGCATCTGGTTCTATGTATTTCAAGCTACTGTCTATTTCCATATTTGTACTATAAAAGACATCAATTTTTCTTATGTTTTATTCAAAAAAATATCCCAGTAGCATTATCATAATTTTTATAGAGAACATATAAGATACAGATACTAACAAAGATAACAGACACAGTCACAAATTGAAAGATCATTCCTAAGGGAGCAAGAATAATTTATTTAGAGGTTCCTTTGTCACAGTGCCTACAGATGATCTAGGCATACAAAATCCTGAACTGTTTTGACCACCCTCACTCTGTGTCCCATGGGATGCTGAATTGTCTTACAATTTCCCGAAGGATAAGAGCAGGACTACCCAGGAAGAGGCCAGGTTCACGTTCCCATTGCTACAGGGCAGCCACCAAGGCACCAGGGACTGCGCACGGACTGCCGACAGGACCGGTCCCCCGAGGGGTTGTCATCACGTATTATTTATGCCAGCATTGTACAATTTTGCTGCTAACGTGTGTAAATCTCGCATACTTTTAAAAACAAAAAATCAGACTTTTACTGCCTTTCCACAAAATTATTCGGCTACTGCTATGTCAAGTAGACAGGCAATGTCCTGCATGAATATCACAAAAATAATGCCCTGTGCTTCCTGCAGAAAGGGGGGATCAATTATTTGTTGTTACAAGTTTGGCATATGTTTCTTTGCTCAAGTATGAGCAGTTGTGGTTTCATTGTGCTCTCCAGGCAAACTTTACATCAAAATTAGATCAAAGTAACACATGTTCTCTTACTTTCCTCTCCTAATGGGAGAAATGAAGTTAGCCACTGCTGCCCTTGCAGCAGCCACACATCTGATACACACATCTGTGATACTTTTTTCTGTTTCTGAGCCTGACATACTGCTTTGAGATTACAATTAGAGTGCACTCAAAACTTCAAGGACCATCATGGCATGAAGGCATGGAGCCAGGATTACTTTGGATACATGTTCCGGTAAGCAACTGAACACTGGCCTTTAATGGCTGCTGGATCAGCTTGGTAACTTGAAAAAGGAACTGAAAGGGGTAATAAAATTAAAGTAGTCTTAACACTGCAGTTTCCAAACAACTTGTAAAATAAGCTGGAACAAGTTTGCCAGAGAAACATTTGCTATAAAAAGTGTAAAACTATGGGACTTGAGCCAGGCCAGCTGTGCTTCTGCTCCTGTATCAGCAGATGCCAGAGGCTACGGATTCTGGAGGCAGCAAACATGTTTCTTTGCTCTCATTTTATCCCCCTAGGCTGACACATGGCGCTGGCAGCCTCCATGGCAAGCTGTGTCTAGCCTTCTTTGGCTGGAAGAGGACTGCTGATGTTGGTACTTGGAGTTCTAGCAGGAGACACCATCAGTGTTAAAGCAAAAGAAGAGAAAAAGATTCCATGTTAGCCATGCTTTCAGAAAGGGTTACCTGCAGCATATAAGCCTACAAGCACTGTGAACCATGGGTTGTAAAGAGCTCTCTATTTACTTAGGGGTAACAAAACATACAGCTATTCATAGCTAATGTTCAAGTGAAAGGCGTTCAGGGAAAATCTACCTTAATCAAACACTTTGAGTCGGCACCCAACAGAGCTGGCGTCAAGAGAAAGACAAAGACAAGGGCCAAGGTATGTGGCAAGATGTAGTGAAGCTAACTGGCAAACAAATAAATAAAATGAGGGGGAGAATAAATGGCTTAGAAATTACACACATAAACAATTAGAAGAATTTTCATGCATGCTTTAGCAAGAGGACTTACATCAGTTGATTCATCTGAAGAAGATACAGGATCGATATCTGGAGCAAGTATTGATAAGACAAAATGAATCTGTATCTGCTTTACCTACGTTTGCTTTATAGAAAATAAAGGAAGAAAATGTTTAATCTCCCAAATTTTAAGGAAAGCTTAAGTACCTTGAATTTTGCTCAGAATAATAGCTTTGTCTCATGCAGCATCATATAGTTTTAAGTATTTATTGTTTTAAATAATGAGTGCCATTAATATTAATTAATGGAGCATTTGTAATGCTCCATAATGGATACATTTGTATCAGTCCCAGCTTATTATTTATTCCAGCAAAAAACTTTATAGGCTTTGAGGCATCCTGTTTTCTTTCTTTTCAGTACTGTGAGTTTGTGAGTGCACTGTAACATTTTATACACATGCAGCCACTTTTATAGCTGTATTATTTATTCAGTAATTATGAAAATACTCTTAACAGTCTGAGCATTTTAGCATTCTTATATTGTACTATGCTGAATAAGTACAGTAATGTTTACTCATTGAACCTGGAGTACTAATAGGCATCAGGAATGGTGAGGACGAACAGTAGTTCAGTGGTTGATGTATTTATTGAAGTACTTCATTTTATTTCGTCCTGAGCTTCTTACTGGTCCTTTCTCCCAGTAAAAAATGTTGCTTACCTTTTGTGTTGGGACCTGACCTTATCTAAATTCCGGTTAAATCACTGAATCATTCTTCCAATGCCTGGCAGGGCGCCTTGCAGACGTTTAGATGACAAAGCTCTTGCTCAAGGCGCTTAGTCTCAATTAGACGTATCAGTGGACAGCAGCAGACTGTATTAGGAGGAACATAGGAAGGCTCAGCAGCAAGGGGCAGAGAGAGCATAAACTGATTGGCATAGCCATTTGGTTTAATATTTCTAATTTACTGCTTCCCCCCCCGCCCTGGTTTTCTTTTTAATTCAATATAGTCAAGAGATAGTGCCAGGATGGAAATTAGTGGTGGGAAGTTAATCAGGAAAAAAAAAAAGTGAGCCCTGAGGAAAGATTTGGAAGAAAGAAGGCGGATTAAGGTCTTCCGAGTGCACTCGGTGCATGGAGAGGTCGACTGAGGTGCTGGAGAAGGAACAGCAGCGGATGTGGCCTCTTGGGAGCTCCAGAAAGGCAGAGGGTTAATTTTCACTTCCTTGAAACTCTTCCTTTTGCACCAAGGTAATATTGGCAGACCGAGGCTTTATTACTGCTCGTACACTTCGGGATGCACTCCTTAGGCATCAGAATCAGCCTTCTTGCACCAGCAGTGGTGTCTTTTTTTTTTTCTCCTGCAGGCCCCGAGCGGGCAGGGGCTGATGGGCTCGGTGACACCCGCAGGGCGGTGACAGGAGGCAGCAGCGGGCCCTGGTGCTGGTGGCCCGCGGGCAGCGCTGCGAGGGGAAGGGGAGTAGGAGGGAATCGACATGGCCCCGCGGGCAGCACTGCGAGGCGGAGTAGGAGGGAGTCGACATGGCCCCGGGGGAAGAAC